ATACTATAGTTCCCATTAAAATATTAATATGTTTAAAATATAAGCATTCTATTTGGAAAATATTCCAAGTAAGTTAACTGTAAATATAAATATTATTTATAGGTATGAAAACTGGTGCAGTTTTTCAACTAATTCATAAAATGGGTGCATGTATGTGCTTAATGTGTATATAATTTTATGTATTCATGTTTTTAGAATGCCTCCAAGGGAGAAATTTTTGTTTTTCAGAATTAGTCAGGTGCTTAAATGTAGGCACTTCCTGGAATTGTTTCTTCTCTGGTCGTTGCTTCATTTGGTGTCGTTCCATTTGTGGCTGTTGATGGAAAAGATACCAGGCCACAGAAGCCTACCATCTAACAGTTTTCCAAGGACTAATCCATGATTTGCATCATGTCATTGTTTTGAGAGCATCTGCACTGCAGAAATAATCTGGTTTGGTGCCACTTTAACTGCCACAACAAACTACCATTCCCAGAATTCCATAGCATGGAGCCATGGCAATTAAAGTGGTGTCAAACCAGATTATTTCTGCAGTGCAGATGCAGCCGTAGATAGAGATGAGATCAATGGTTTACTAGTTTAAGTCCCTTGGTGGTGGGGATCAGCAATCTGCAAGCACTCCAAACCTTTGCCTCTCCAGATATTTTGTACGTCAACTCCCAGTAACCTTAGTCATCATGACAGTTGCTAAGAAGTTGTGAGAGCTATTAAATAAAACATCCGTAGGACCAAACCTTCCCCACCCCTAACTTAGCCAGTAAAACAAATACTGTACCCTATTTGAATGTATAAAATGTTTTCTATCACTGCTGCATGGTCACAGCCAACCAAAAGACATTTGAGAGGGAATAATAATAATAATAATAATAATAATAATAATAATAATAATAATAATAAATTTTATTTGTATCCCGCCCCTCTGCGCAGCAATCGAGGTGGCGTACATCAGTTAAATAGAACAGTTAAAATTGCAACCCAGGCCCCAACCCTCCCCCCCCCGTAAAACAGAATTAAACTAGCTTAAAATTAAAACATGAACATAACAATTAAAACAATAAACTACATAGGGTGAACATGTCATGGCAGCTAGAGGGTGAGCAAAGGATCGCTATCAGTTAATCAGGGAGATGTTCTGGGAAGGCCATCCATCTTTACTGCCTTTTTAAAGGCAGCCAGAGTAGTAATATGACGGATCTCATCTGGCAGGCCATTCCAAAGTCTGGGAGCAGTTGCGGAAAAGGTCCTCTGGGAGGTCTGCAAAAGCTTCTTATCGGCCACTTTTCCTTACACATATTTCTTCTATTTTTACCTGTGGGTTGTCTCAAAGATACCAGCAGGCAGAAGCCTAGAATCTGGAAGGGAGCCCAGTTGAAGGAGCTTATGGCATTCTTAAATAAGTTGCCTTACCTAATGCGGTTTAAAATTAAATTTGGGCAGCGTCCAGACACTATTGCAAGGATTTTGATGCCAAAATTGCTGCCCAAATGCAGGCTGGGGCCATCCCTGCTCCTAGAGCCGCTCAGTGCGGTTCTTTTCAAAGTCGGGAGTTTTTCGGCTTGAGAATGTGGGTGCTGGAGTGACTCCAGGAGTGGGGATGGCCTTGGGATGGTCCCAGGCGGCGATTTTAGCAACAAAACCCTGGCAATAGGGTCCGGACGCTGCCTGAATTTAATTTTAAGCTGGATCAGGTAAGGTGAGTTATTTAAGAATAGGATAAGCTCATAATCCTCTGGTTAGTACATGAGTTTTCATAAACATAGAACAGAGGCGGGCAATTGTGGCCCTTCAGATGTGTTTTGTGTACAACTCCCATCGTCTCTAGTCAGTGTACTTAATGGTGAAGCAGCCAGACGGCATAATTGTTTGACCGTTGCATTAAAACTCTGGAGACCAAGGTTCGAGTCTCTGCTCAACCATAGAATCCTACTTGGTGTCCCTGGGCAACCTACGTGGTGTCATACTCTCTCAATCTAAGACGAAGGCAAATCCCCTCTGAATAAATCTTGCCATCAAATCACCATAACAAGGTTCCCTTAGGGTCTCCATAAATTGGAAATGACTTGAGGGCACACAGCAACAACAAATTGTGGGAGTTAACTGTCCAAAAAACATCTGTAGGGCCTCAGCTTCTCACTCCTAGCATAGAAGATCACAGCCTACATGTGTACAGTCGGGCTTTTGTATCCACCATGGTTTGGTTCCAGGGCACACACCCCTCTGCTATGGATACCAAAATCCATGGATGCTCAAGCCCCATTATATTCAGTGGGATGGTAAAATGGTGTCCCTTATATAAAATGGCAAAATCAAGATCTGCTTTTGGGGGTTTAAAAAAAATATATTTGCAAGCCGTGGATGGTTGAATCTGTGGACACGGAGGGCCCACTGTATTTGCTAGCAGTTTGGGTAAATTATGGATCACATCAACAGGTCTTTAGGCCTTGATACAATAATGATCCTCCTCAGTCCCAATCCCAGAACATTTCTCCCATTCCAACATGCTATTGAGACATTCTTGGAGGTTCTTTCCTGGAAGCATCTGCTTGACTTCTGATTAACTTTTTTCTTAGAGTTCCTGCTAGCAAACTCTATACTTCTGATAAATGTTATTATTGTCTGCTGAAACAGGCTAGAGAAAGGAAGATCTTGAGGAAATGTGTCACGACTGTGGTTATTATGGGTGTGGAAGAGCCAATGCTAATGGATAAATACCTCAAAGTATAAGCCTAAGGCTAGCAAGGAAACACAGAAAGAGGACGATGGCTGGGGGGCATGGTTCCTTGGGCTTGCTTGCCCTTCTCTGGCTCTTTATGAGTGGGTTCTTGCCCATCCACCTCCCAGTATGGACCCTCAACTTACAAACTGGTACTCCCACAGTGTACTCTGGACCCCATGGAAGCTATTTTGGCTTTGCCTTGGATTTCTACCAGGACAGTAAAGGCAGGTAGGATCATATTGGTGAGGGTGTAAGGATGGGAATGACTCGATATCAGGACATAACTCATCCCCTGCACAGGGAGAAATGGGGCCTCAGAAGATGAAAAGCAGCATCTTGGCACTGGCCACCATAACACTCCATTTACCTGCTGATAGCAGCCAGCCAGATATCTCAGTATCTTTCACAGGCAGTACACAATAGTGATAGTGTTTTGTGTTGAGCCTAACAAGGCTATTTGAAATGACCTGGCAGGGATCTAGTCACAGGCTGGTTGTACTGGTTTTGGTTGTTTTTTACCCTGAGTTAAAGCAGAGATGAGAGCAGCAACAGGAAAGTTATTTAAGGAGACGGCACAGTTAATTCACTGTGCCGGAATACAATACAATCCACTCCCTTACTAATTCTCGTCAGATATGTCTCTAGAGCTAGGAAAAGTTACTTTTTGGGCTATGATTCCCAGGACCACACAGCCATTAAGGGGTCTGGGAGTTGTAATCCTGAGAGAGTGAGAACATATTTTTCCTGTATGGAAATTAAGTCAGAAATCTTAACTAAAGACTTAACTAGAACCAGTGTGATGTAGAGGTTTGAGCATTGGAGTCTAGAATTTGACTTCCAGCTCAACCGTGAAACCCAGTGGGTGATCTTGGGCATGTCACATGCTCTCAGCCTCAGGGGAAGGCAATGGCCAACCTCCTCTGAACAAATCTTGTCATGAAAAACCCATGATAGGTTTGCCTGAAGGTGGCCATAAGTCAGAAGGCACACAACAACAACTTAACTAATATGGCAACCACTCACGCAGCCAAAAGTCCCTTACCTGCCCCAGTGGCTCCTGACAAAGTGGGAGGCAGGTTTCATCTGGAAATGGAGTTTCATCTGAAATGCAGTCAATTCAAATTGTAGTTTATCAAATTGTAGTTTAAAGTGATAATCCCCATTTATCAACTTGTGATTTTTAAAAATGTTGAAATTTTGGAGTCAAACATCAGGTTTCCACCCAGGGAACATGGTTGGATCTATATGTGTGTGGGTCTGTGATGGGGTCCTTCTCCCTTTTCTTCAGGAAAACATAATGAGGGCTTGCACAAGAATTTGCCTTACTATCTCAACCAACGTAGAAGTCTTGGTCCCATCCCAGACCAATCCAGCCAAATGTGTGGCACCCTTATGGCCAGGATGCATGGGGTGGGGTAGTCTGTTGCTAGACACTGACCCTTTTCTTTTGCCCTCTAGCATGAACGTGGTTGTGGGAGCTCCTCGGGCAAACACCTCACAACCTGGTGTGATGGAGGCAGGCTCTGTCTACCTGTGCCCTTGGGTACCTAGTGGCAGCAAGTGCACCCCCATTGAGTTTGATACTAAAGGTGAGTGATCCACTTGGCTGTCCCATCGTGATCAGGGCTGGACTGTCTCATTGACTCCATCCATAGCTCAGTCTGTGTGTCTAGACTACAGCATAGGTCAGGATTATTTCAGGCCCTGAGATTTGAGGGACAAACCTGAGTCCTAGGGATGGCCTGCTGTTGTGGTGTCACAGGAAGCAGCCTCTGGTCATGTGTCAAGGGTGACATTACAAGGGACACAACCTAGTGATATCATTAAGCTTGATACCTTAAGCATCAACCAGACTGCCTCGGCTTATGCCATTCAAATCAAAAAGACAAGTCTGATAAATGAAGAAAATATATAGTACAAGGCACATTTCTCACCTGGAAATTCTTAGCAGATACTGTGCATTTAGGTGACTGAAGAATCAGACACACTCAGCTGTGAGGAAGATAGGCTTCTGTCAGCTGAAGGGGATAAGGATGCTTTTTGTTATTGTCGTTGTTGTGTAATTTCCAACTTATGGCAATCTTAAGGTGAACCTATCATGGGGTTTTCTTGCCATGATTTCTTCAGAGGAGGTTTGCCATTGCCTTCCCCTGAGGTTGAGAGCATGTTACTTGCCCAAGGTTACCCAGTGGGCTTCATGGCCAAGCCAGAAATCAAATCTTGGTCTCTAGAGTCAAAGACCAACACTCAAAACCGTGTACTATGCAGCAAATACTTGCTGGGAGCCAGCGTAGTATAGTGGTTTGAGTGCTGGACTTTGACTCTGGCGACCAAGGTTCAAATCCCGGCTCAGCCATGAAACCCACTGGGTTACCTTGGGCAAGTGATATTCTATCAGCTGCAAAGGATGGTAATGGCAAACCTCCTCTTGCCAAGAAAACCCCATTATAGGTTTGCTGTAGGGTCTCCATAACTTGGAAATGACTTGAAGGCACACAACAACAAAATACTTGCTGCATTATTTTACACACTGCCTTTGTCTCAACCAATCCTGAAATCTATTTTAATGTACTGGTGCTGATACAGGCATGCCCCAATTTATGAATTTTTAAAATTCAGTTAAACTAACTATAATATTGAAACACTAGTGAATTAAAATTATGTAAAAGACATCCATTTAAAGAAGTAATGTATGTGTGCATGCATGTATGTATGCATGTATGGATTGTGTTTCTTTGACTGTATTGAAATGCATGACTCCTGGCTGGTTGTCCAAAACTCTCAAGGCAAAACCACCATTTTCCTCACTCTGGCCTTAATGGCATACAGCAAGCTGTATGTGAGCCATTGCCAATGTCATGAAGCGACTTGTGATACAAAATAATGATGCACGTGTGATTGCTGTATGTGCAGTTGTAAACCGAGTTTAAAGTGGAGCTGATGGGTAAAAGTTGTGAGCTCAAGCATCGGCAAAAATTATGTTTGTGTCTACTGCCTGCTCATGTCGTGCCACTTCCAGAGTATTAGCAGGCAAACAGAAGCCCATTTTGCAGGTGCGCAGTTGCTACAATCATTGCAAACTAGCCCTACAAGATCCACTCCAGGAGGAAATGGAATAGAAAATGTCTTGTGAGGCTGGAGATAACAAAATTGGGGAATAAGGGGGTGGGGGCACAGGAGAAAGAGACTAGGACTGAGTAGCTGAATACTAAGTACTCAGTATTAAAGATACATAAGTTAGGCTTGTCCATGCCATCGTATTACCAATTTCTATATATGGTTGTGAAAGTTGGACAATGAAGAAAGCGGATAGGAAGAAAATAAATTCCTTTGAAATGTAGTGCTGGAGAAGAGTTCTACAAATATCATAGACTTCTAAAAAGACAAATAAATGGGTCGTAGAGCAAATCAAGCCTGAACTCTTCCCAAGAAGCCAAGATGACTAAGCTGAGACCATCACACTTTGGCCATATAATGAGAAGACATGATTCACGAGAAAAGACAATAATGTTTGGTAAAGTAGAAGGCAGTAGGAAAAGAGGAAGACTACATTCTAGATGGATCCAGATGGATCACCTGTTGGTGATAGGGTGACTTGGAGGTTTCATTCATATGGTTGCCATAAGCTGAAGCTGACTAACAACAAAAAAACTGAATACCTTTAATTGTGCCAGAAAGATAACTGATTGGAAAATACTTATTGAAAAGAGAAGCATTACTAAAGAAGGAAGGTTGGCTGTGTACTGAGTCTAGTACTGAAGCAGGTGTGGGAGAAATATGAGATGTTTGAGGCTGATTAATTGGCAGGGGATTATTTTATTTTATTTTATTTTTATCCCACCTTTTCCCAAAAAGGGATCCAAGATGACTCACAATATAAAAACACATTAAAACAACATTAAAAAAAACCAATTAAAATAGCCTAATTAAAACAGCAAAAAGTTAAAATTTTAAACATACAAAATTCAAAGCATACAAAGGTTAAAACATAATCTAAACCAACCCCCCTGCATGATTTTAAAAGCTTGCTGGAATAAAAATGTTTTTGCTTTTGTTTTTGGCGAAAGGGCAGCAGGGAGGGGGCCAGCCTAGCTTCCTTTTCACACTACTCAACTATAGCACTATGATTCCACTTTAACTGTCATGATTCCATCTTATGGAAACCTGGGATTTGTAATTTAGGGAGGGGAATTTCAAATTGTCATCCAGACAACTACCTCTCCGAACGACAAACCCCAGCACTCAATAGGATGCAGTGGTAGCAGCTAACCTGGTATCATAGTGCACTAACTGTGTCATGTAAAAGGACCCCTCTTTACAGAACAGAAGGCAGACTATCTGATTATTCTCTGCAGCTGAGACGAATGGTGTGTGTGTGTGTGTGTGGTTTCTGCTTTCTTACCTTATTCAGATTTCTCTTTTTCCATGTCACCACCACTGCTGGGCAGGTGATCAAGTTATGGAAAGCGACCCTAATATTTTGGAAGTCTTTAAGTCCAAACAGTGGTTCGGAGCATCAGTGAACACCTGGGAAGACAATATCTTGGTGAGTACCAGAAGATCCTCTGAGCCACATGCAATTCAAAACTAGAGGTTAGAATAAAATAAAAATTCAGCCTTAGCTAGACTTTTGGCCAAACATCTTGCAAAGTTGAGCTTAAAACGTTGTTGTTGTTGTTATTGTTATTGTTATTAATATCCCATATTCCTCCACCCCCCCCAAAAATTGCCACTCAAAGCAGCTTCATCTTGGCTGTGGATATATTAATTTTTAAACAGTATTTCAAAAGACCTTATTAGCCAACTATAACCACTGTGGTGACTTTGACTTCAATCCAACTTCAAAAGCTAATTACTTCCAATATAACAAAGGGTGGGAGCCACCTTTTCGTAAAGCAAGCTTCAGTGAAGGAAATAAATGGAGGCTTCCTGCTTTTCCAAAGACTTGAAAAGCTAGGAGGATGTTGTAGTGTTAGTGAAAAGGGAGCTATTTTCTGAATCTACAATAATAAAAGATAATAAATCTCTGCCGTAGGTCCAAGACTGTGAAACCTAAACACTTGAAGCCTAGCTTAGGTACTAATAGACTCCTGGATATGCAGTAATTACATAATTAATTTTAATTAGTCTACAGTATTATTTCCAGCCAATAAGTGCCAAACCTTTCCTAACCAGAGCTCTGCTCTGGTGCCACAACAAACTACAGTTCCCAGAATTCCATAGCAGTTAAAGTGGTGTCAAACCGTATTATTTCTGCAGTGTGGATGCACCCTGTGTTTCTTGAAGTCTGTAGGGCTGCTACTGATATAACATTTTCTCCTCCACCATCCCACGATTTCTTTCAGGCCTGTGCCCCTCTGCAGCACTGGAATGCCTTGGAAGGTCAAGAGGAGGCCACCAAGACCCCCGTGGGCAGCTGTTTCTTGGCCTCAGAAAGCCTGCGGCATTTCTCAGAATATTCCCCCTGCCGTGAAACTCAGATAGAGCCCGTTTACTCTGCATTCGGTTACCGTGAGTACAGAATGTCTGGGGTGGCGAAAGAGGGAATGGTGGGGAGGACAAAAGCCAAACCTTAATTGAGTGGTGAGAAGAAACATTGCCCAGAGTCTCTGGCTAAAAGGGTCTGTTAGGGCTGAGACACATTGCTGCCTGAGGTGGAGCAGCAAATAATGCCCCTCCTCTAGGTTTATGTCAGGGGTAGGCAACCTTTTTGAGCCAGGGGCCGGGTTGCTGT